CTGTGATCCTGACTCTGTGATCCTGACTCTGGGATCCTGACTCTGTGGTCCTGACTCTGTGGTCCTGACTCTGTGACCCTGACTCTGTGATCCTGACTCTGTGACCCTGTGCTTCCAGTGAAGGAGGAGTGCATGTCTGAGGAGGAGGAAGAGGAGGAGGAGGAGGAGGTGAAGGATGCCCTGGTGGAGGAGATCCTCCAGCAGGGCGACACGGCCATCATCTACCCGGAGGCCCCCGAGGACGAGCAGAGCCCCGCCGAGACGGGCGGGGCCGACGAAAACGGTGAGGCTGACCGCTTGCTCCCGATGGGGGGGGGGGGTTTGGATGAGGGGCGTCGGGTCTCACCCCCATTCCCCGCTCCTCCTCCTCCCTCCCCACAGGCACCCCCGACTCCTTCTCCCAGCTGCACACCTGCCCCTACTGCTCGCGGGGCTACAAGCGCAACGCCTCGCTGAAGGAGCACATCAAGTACCGCCACGAGACCAGCGAGGACAACTACAGCTGCTCGCACTGCAGCTACACCTTCACCTACCGCTCGCAGCTGGAGAGGCACATGAGCCACCACCGGGGCAGCCGGGAGCAGGTAAACCCCCCCCCAGAGAAGAAAACCCCTAACCCTAACCCAGACCTCTGGACCCCTCTACTACCCTCTACTGTGCCTCTACTGATTCTGACTAGGGATTTTCCTCTAGAGAACTTGTTGCCATATTGATGATAACTGTAAGATTGTGTCTACTTTGTAAGTTGTTTTGATAAAAACGTCTGCTAAATGCATAAATGTAAACATAGCAAAGCTTTCAGGGTCTGAAACTATCAGATTTACCGCCCCCCCAAAAAAAAATATGCGCAAAGAGGGAATTCAGAGCCTTCAATCCGCTTGTTTCGTGGTTTTAATGGACCTGGAGTATATTTCTCTTATCATATGAGCTACTTTTATTATTATATTTTATTGCTGGAAGTCAATTTCTCCCTGGAGATCAATAGAGTATATTCAATTCAATTCAATTTTATAAAAAATCTGTCTCTATTCGACGTAGTTTTTGTTCCCATTTTCTCATTCATCCAATAAAAAGTATCATTTGGAAGTTTTGGAAAAGTTTCTTAGGACGCATCCATTCAAATAAAGCTAAAGGAGAGTTTGTTTCTGCGATGAGGAGTCATAAAACGTTGCTTTCCTCTCCCAGCATCACGTCTCCGGGACGACGGGCGGATCGGGGGGGACGGGCGGCACCCGCAAGTTCAAATGCAACGAGTGCTCCAAGGCCTTCAAGTACAAACACCACCTGAAGGAGCACCTGCGCATCCACAGCGGTGGGTGCAGCCCCACACACACACACACACACACACACACACACACACCAACACACGCTCACACAGAGGCACACAGAGGCACACAAAGACACACACCCACATGCTCACACACAGACGCTTACACATACTCACACACACACACCCACGTGCATGCACACAGACATAGACGCACACACGCACACACACACAGAGGCACACAAA